GGTCCATAGTGAGGTTTAAACATCTCTTATTTAGCTGCTGCTCCATAGTGAGATTTAAACATCTCTTATTTAACTGCTGGTCCATAGTGAGATTTAAACATTTCTTATTTAGCTACTGCTCCATAGTGAGATTTAAACATATTTTATTTAGCGTATCTAAGGCCTCAAAGTTTAGACTTAGTTTTTTATGGCAACGGGACGCGAACTTCGAATCCTCAGATTCACAGTCCAAGCAAGCAACTACTAGGTCACACTCAATCCTTTATTAGGGTATAAAAACACACACACATATATATATATATGAAATTATTATAAGGTCGAAAGATAAAAGGAGCAAGGAGTGTGAAACTAAAATATTTATACTAATAATAATACTATTAAAACCTTTTTTTATAATCAATTATTACGAAAGAGGTCTTAGTTTGGTTTTCAGACAACGGTTTCTTCATAAATATACACGCCATACGAGTTTATTCAGTTTAGACTTCTGCTAAACGTGTTTGTGTGTATATATATATATATATAATTCCACTGCATTAGGTACAGGCCATGTACTTGAATATAAACACATTGGTAATAAAATAATCGTAAAAATCAGCTTTTCCTGCTACTTTTTATGTGTTCTTAATTCCGCCATCAGTCTCGAGCTGAGTGAGGTTAATGAACTCAGTAAACTGCGAAATTTCATGTTTTTCGTATGTGACATATAACTGAATATCTGCCTTTATACCAAGAATGTCAATTCTTCGAAATGTGCAACAGATTTATCAGTTAACTGTTTTTTATTATTATTATTATTATTATTTTTCAATGTAAACCTTTTCGGGACCAAAGTGTTCAGTGAGCTGGCTGCAAAACAATGTAAGCGTATAGATGACGAGTATTAGGGTTGGGTGTTGCTGACTGGCTGGGTTTCCTTTGGACAGTATTTCGACATTAGGGCCGTCGGCAAGAAGCCTTAATAACTTTACCATAAATACAAAATAGAAATATATATATATATAAAGTTTCAGGCTAAAAAAAAAAAAAATGCACATAATTAGTAGAGCTGAGGATGAACAGCCACTAAGGATCCGTGAGGGTCTCGTGACTGCTATTCTGAAACAGCAAATTTCAGCTTTGCTAATTCTCCTCACAGTATAAGCTCCTTTCCACTTTCCTATCACAGATTATTTGCATAACATTCGATTTCCGTTAGGCAGAGCCTTACCTTTGACATTCAGGCATTACGTTGATAAGCAGTCTGAACCCGGATTCGTTGTCAAAACCAAATCGATTTGAATGTATTATCATCTAGCGTTTTGGATTAATTTTAAATTGGTAACGTTTTGTTACAACGTTAAAAGTTGATTCTATACACAGAAATTGATGCTGGTTTTGTGGACATTGAATGATTTGTTTTTTTTTTTGCTGTAAAATTTAAAACTAAAAATGTAACAAAAAAATCAGTCGGATGGTCAAGTAAGTTATTGATTTAAGATTATGTACACTGAAATGTCACTCAAATATCAACAAGTTTTTAGTGATGATTTAGTAAAGATAATAACCAATGATATTCAGTTGAAGCCCTGCTTAGTATTCATTTAAAGATATCACTATTTTGGGATTAATAAAGTAATGATATAAATAGGGGTGTGAGCCGCCCTTTCAATTGTTTTGAGTCATGTCACATGAACAGTTGTCCGATTCCAAGTACGTATGCTACTCGCGGAAATAAACGTTACTCGCGGAAATAAACGTTATTTTCTTTTTGGCGTCGGCTTTACATATTTTGATCCATATTTCCTAGTTTAAGCTAGCTCGAGCCAAATTCGGCCTGGGGGTCAGCGTTTCGGTCTGTAGATCTGAGTTTCCGTGGCTCGCGCCCAATTACAACGGTAAAAACAAAAAATCGCCTTCCGCACCTTGGGACTGTGGGTACGTTATAAGAGTAACTGTCAAATCCCGCTATTCGATTAGAGAGGCCAACGAGTTGGTGATGTTGACTAGTTGCCATTCCTCTGGTCAATCACTTTAAAATTAGGGACGGCTAACTCAGTAGAAGTTGAGCCCTCAGTTGCGTTATTAATGTAATAAAAACTGAAATAGCTGTCAAACTCTAAACGTTTGTCCGACACTTATCCATTTAAACTCTGTCTTTGGGGTATCCACACGAGTTCGTCTTCCAAATTTAATCGAAATTGGTTCAGCTTGCTCCACATAACAACTTGTGACACCAGGCTGACCAATAGATGGACAACTCTGCCTTATATATATATATATATATTATCATAACAAATCCATTTCCTCGCATACAAAGTATTAAATGACTGTGGTATCCTACAGTTATGTAGTAAATTGCATTTCAAGCCTGTATTAAATTCGGGCGGACTTGTAACTATAGAGGTTATTTCATTTTTAGGTCACTGGTTCCTAATCTGCCCCCTCCCCACGGTCCCGTTTGTGTGTGTTTAATGCAAGGGAAGGGTGTGTGTGTGTGTGTGTGTGTGTGTGTGCATGAGGGCAATTTCAGACAAAGCTACTGGCAGCCACTGTTGTAGTTTTTTATTTACAAGTATTTTTTTTTACACTGATAATTTATGTGCGCAACAAATAGAAAACTACTGTTGTGTGTATACATTTGAGTAGGGGGCCAGTGTTGTTGACCTGATAAAATTCACATGAATTAAATGCGGTGTTGTTTTCAGTTTTTTTTTTTCATTATTACTGTTACGATGTGTAAGATTTGGTCGCAACCTGTGGGAATCGACAGACGTTAACATGAGATTTTACAAGAAAAGAGAAAATCAAATACTCCAAACCTCATGCCACGTCAGCAGTCAAACAGTTGCACGTATACATCAAAGACATTGCGAAACGGAATACACCATCTCGTTTACACGTTTTTATTATTTTAAGAAGCTTGTGTGAGAAATTGAAAAGGCTGGAAATAAAAACAAAATATTAGTAGGAACAGATGTCACAAATCTATAACATAGCCGATTTTTTATAACATTTTTTTGATACGACGAAAAAAGTTACGTCTGCGTGTCTTAAGCTTTTTCTAATGGTCAAAAATGATGCTGTATTTTGTAACTGTGTGTAACTTCTACAGTTTTGAAAATCTGTTGTATTAGTCGTAAAAGCATTTAGGCGATGGGTGTTTATTGCATAATGTTAAACATGTAACGTGCAATTTGTAGTATTAAATACGTTGCGGGCCCCCAAGTGGCACAGCGGCATGTCTGCGGATTTATAATGCTAGAAACCGGGTTTCGATACCCATGGTAGGCAGAACACAGATAGCCCATTGTGTAGTTTTGTGTTCGACTACAAACAAACAAATACGTTATGATGGTTTGATAATGTTTTTCATCAAACCGCGTAGTTTTACAACAAGAAACTGAATTAAAAAGAATTTTGTTGGCGTATTCCAGTAAAGCAAAGTTACAACTTCAGCTAGAAGACTAGAAAGAAAGAAGCCTGCTGTACAAATTCCAAAGAGCATTTGAAGTGAACCGAGGACTCGTGTTTGTAACTAAAGCAACCGGTTCAAAATACCTGAATGGCTGGTTTAGATTTGGCTAAGGCCTGACGTGGACCGAAAAAAGCTATTGTAGTCAGAGGGAATGAATAGTGTGCAAGCTTTGATTAAAAAAAAAGTTAATCGCAGGAAGCTGGAAATTTACATATGTATACATAATGCCTGTGTTATATGCATGAAATAAGTTGAACATGATTCGTTTTGTAATTTAAGAATAACGATTTAAGTTGTAGCTTTCCCATCGAAAACTTGCAAGTTTCAATGGCGAGGATACTGAAATATGCATTCATAAAGATGTATTTGAACGGGCCTAAATAACAATAGTATGAAAGTTTTTTTTCATAATTATGCTTATTTTGACCTTTTAAAAACTACACAACTAATCCTCTGGTTATATCAAAAACGTTTTTTTTTTTTTTAAAGCGTGCACAAACTTTCCTTTCCCCTTGCGAAAATTGTGGACAGCCCCTTACCGTTATGAGCGATTTTAATCAGATATCCACGGGGTTGGTCCATTATGGACCGCGTATTGGAGAAGGAATTTTAACTATAATTCTCAGTTTACTATGTGTGTGCACACGAAATATGGCAAGCTTTTAGTAAAACGTACGAGGCTGTTGTACAAAAAAAATAAAAAAAATCGGATGTGTTACAAAAATACTCATGATATGTTTGTGAATTGACGACGTCGGTCTAACTCAGAATCTGACAAGTCGGAGTGCAAGGTGAAGTTTATGTGAAGAATAAAAATATTTTGGACATGGTACAGTTTACATATTGTATTTACGTAACTTCTAGAACCTTCGAAATGCGTATCTGTAATTTTTTTGTAATATCCTTATATGTTCTATCTAGTGTTTATTCTTCTCTACCACGAACTGTCGCTAAATCAGTAGTTTTAGGGTAAAATGAGTAGTTAATATTCTTTGATAGATTGTTTGGGTAGAGTATACATGATGAAACTTTGTAGAAGGGACGGCAACTACCTGTTGAAGAGACACGAGTCTAGAGGACGACGTCCTCTGCCTTTCGTCTTCAGGTCTTCGAAACGTCGTTATCTACACTTGTCTCTACAACAGGTAGTTGCCGTCCCTTCTACAAAGTTTCATTACGAATAGTTTATAGTTCTAATATCAAATACGCAACATCTTGTTGAATGTCACTCTGTAAAGGGTCGTGGCCTGTGCACTTTGACCCCCACCTGTTCACACAAGGTTAAACTTCATAATATTAAAACGATATTTCTTTACTGTGTTTTCATAAAGTATTTCTTACTTAGCTGTGGACTGTGGCGATTAAGTCACCAAATCATGTGGCGACTGACTCATGAAACCAAGTTGTGTGTTTACTTGTGTTTTCACACAGTAATTTTTTACTTAGCTGTGGATTGTAGCGATTAACTCACCAAAACAAGTTGTTTTTACTTTTGTTGGAGGGTATTTTTCTGTAATAAAACTAGAACCCATTTTCGTTACAGAAGTTAACAGTTCACGTTCGTGTACTGTAAAGTGGCACTTCCAGTCCCAGTATGTAACCCCGCTGTTAGAGAGAATGTCTCACGTGACAGGGTGCACCAGTCAAGATATCACAAGGAATTCAAAGGTACTGATAACTTTACCAAGTAGTAAATATCATTAAACAATACGAATCCTCCAGTCTTAGTATGAAAAGCATCCATACAATGGATAAAATGGCGTTAAACAATACGACTCCTTCAGTCTTAGTATGAAAAGCATCCATACAATGGACAAAATGGCGTTAAACAATACGACTCAATCAGTCTTATGGAAAGCATCCATACAATGGACAAAATGGCGTTAAAAAATATGACTCCTTCAGTCTTAGTATGAAAGCATCCATACAATGGACAAAATGGCGTTAAACAATACGACTCAATCAGTCTTATGAAAAGCATCCATACAATGGACAAAATGGCGTTAAACAATATGACTCCTTCAGTCTTAGTATGAAAAGCACCCATACAATGGACAAAACGTTAAACAAGCCGACTACATACGTTTTAACAAGAAGAGTACCCATATAGGGGGCATATATTGTGACTTTCTGACCTTTAATGTTCAAATATTACTTACAGATAATTAAATACACAACCCAGTTTACAGTAGAAACATTTTGGATTCGATGAGTAACTTCTAAAAACGTCTTTATTGTTCCATACCAAGGAATTTTTTTGATTAACTAAATGTTCAACTTTTGATAAATGTAATTTACATGAAACAAGACCGAATTTTCTTTATTTGTTGAAATACCCGATTGAGAAATTTTAATGTTATACGGTTTGTTTTCCAAGATTTATAATTAAAATAAAGTAATCGCTAAAAAACTGATAAAATCGAATCCTGTTTTATAAATAATTTTATGGAAAACCCGTGCAAAAGAACTATGAATTAAGACTTACTGAGAATGACACCGAGTTCAATAAAGTTCTTTGTAACATTTATCCCTGCCATAAAATCATTATTTTTATGTTTTATTGATTATTCCAGGAAGTTCACGTGCTATACTTGGAGAGTGCTGGATTTAACTCTACGTCATCTTCAGGATTTTTACCTCGCGTGTCTCTCAAAGTTAGGCCTCGCATGGAAAACAGTCTTCACGTTGGCCCACTGGTGGTGATTCTGAACACTGCGACTCCTGTTATGTGGCAGTTGGAAGTGGACAAAATTTCCAATGCTTCCCGTTTTATTGTTTTTGTGAGTAAATCAATTAATTATTCAAAATAATTAGATTTTCCATAATATATATTTTTTGTTGTCGCAATTAGAAATGCGGGATAGGCCAAAAGTTAGTTGCTCCACACTGTTAGAAATGCAGGATAGTCCAAAAGTTAGTTGTCCCACACTGTTAGAAATGCAGGATAGTCCAAAAGTTAGTTGCCCCACACTGTTAGAAATGCAGGATAGTCCAAAAGTTAGTTGCTCCACACTGTTAGAAATGCAGGATAGTCCAAAAGTTAGTTGGCCCACACTCGAATACCTTCTGTGTGATAAGATTTGATTGGCGGGATTGGTTCCATGTCATTTGTGTGCTATACTTACTCATTGTTTATGTTAAACCCTCAATTTACCGACTTGTTTTTATACCGTCCATTACCGCCAGGGTTCACATATTGCATTATGGTAAAAAAATTTATGTAAAATACTCAGGGGATCTTAGCTCTAATTAGTGGGATTGATTGCAATATTAATGGTGTTTTTATTTGTTGCTCACGTGTTATTTGTACAACCAAGCTCTTAAAACAAATAAACAGCAACCAACAAAGTCATCGACCCACGAGCTTTTTGGTGCATAAATAGTTTATAAAAATGTCTTTAAAAAACCAGTGGAGTCCACTTGCAATTCTGTGATTAAGTTGATGAAAACTGAACATAATTACTATACTGGTATAGAATCACTAATTTTTGAACCATCCTGTACATTGATATTAAACGTATAGTGGGAGGTTGGCTCTCAAGATTAGACATCCCGATGAGAGTTACCCATTGATTTAGCTGTTTAAATGCCAGATACTTGTGTACTAATATTCCTTATTTCCATTGGGTAGGTACCACCAGTAAATGTTTTATTGTGTGTTATATATTCGAGAGCACTATTTCATATAAACTGAACAAAGAAATTTTATATCTCATTAAAACTATCTACGGTAAGCGATATAGTGTTGTTTAAACTATGTAGCCATCTTTTTATTTAGAAAGAACGTTATTGAGTATGTATTGGCCCGGCATAACCAGGTGGTTAGGACGCTCGACTCGCAATCTGCGGGTCGCGGGTTCGAATCCCCGTCCCACGAAACATGCTCGCCCTTTCAGCCGTGGGGGCGTTATAATGTGACGGTCAATCCCACTATTCGTTGGTAAAAGAGTAGCCCAAGAGTTGGCGGTGGGTGGTAATGACTAGCTGCCTTCCCTCTAGTCTTACACTGCTAAATTAGGGACGGCTAGCGCAGATAGCCCTCGTGCAGCTTTGCGCGAAATTCAAAACAAAGACAAAGAGTATGTATTATATTTACAGAAATGTGCTGATGAGCACCTTTTATGCTTTTGTCAAATCTCGAGTTGAACTTTGATATAATTTAATTGATTACCTTTCCATTGACTTGTTTATTTTGCATCCTCATTATTCTTAGGAGATGAAGAGTGAGCGCAGATCGTGTTCGGCGCCTTTCAAATTAGCGCAGATTGCTTATAATTAACATCCAATCTTATCTCTGGTATTACAAATAGTTTCGGCGTTGTGGTTTTAAAAGTTATTAATTAACTTGGTTTAGAACGCGAATTCAACGAGAGAGGTAATTTTGTTTAAGCTTATATATATTGGCTAGCAGGGCATGAAATTAAATTTTGAATGAACTTCAGACGTTTTAATGATATTGCTTTAATAAAAGGGGTAGCGAAAGGCTTTCTTAGGTTAAATCTTACAACAACAAAAACTGGCTTTTTCCCTAGAATTCATAAGCGTAAAGGTTATCTTGTTTTTCGTATACGAAGCCTCATTGTGTTATCTACTACGACATTTTTTCTTCAATTAAATACTTTCAGAGGTTCGTGTTGACGTAATAGAAATGAATCTTATTAACAAGAGTTATATTTGCTTGTTCTTGCTGATTTTTTTTTGCACAAAATTGTTAAATTAAACAACTGTTGTGTCACGTCCTGTATTTTCTCCCCACATGCCTTTAGCTTATTGAGAAAACAAAACGTTTTATGATGAAAGGACTTGTTCTTTCCTTCATAATGTTTGTATTAAACCACACTTTTAGTTGTCGGCCTTTCCAGCATTACAGAAACATTATACAGTAGAAATGTATATAATAAATTTAATGAATATTATAAACCATCATGGTTAATCCAGAACAAACTAGATTCAAGGAGGGAGCTCAAAATCTTGAAGTCTGAAATGAAAGTGGTCTCGATTTCACTTGTCTCTCTCTCTCTCACACACACACACATACAAAGGTCTTTACCGTCATCTCCGGGTATGGTGGCTTAATATGAAATGTATGGTGTGGATTAACTCAATTAAAAGTATAATGTAATTAAAAAGTAGGAGAGCAATAAAGAATCTCTAACTTGATGCGATGAAAAAAGAATTTATTTAACCATCCATTTTAACATGTTATACGTTTTAGTGAAGTCCACGTAACCTTGAAAATACTCTGTTTCTTATGTATAGTAAATTAGAATATTTCGATAGGTTCGAGTGTTTATTACGCATTGAACTATAATATAACTATTACTCTTTCTATAACTGGCATGGCCTGACGCATTGAACTATAATATAACTATTACTCTTTCTATAACTGGCATGGCCTGACGCATTGAACTATAATATAACTATTACTCTTTCTATAACTGGCATGGCCTGACGCATTGAACTGTAATATAACTATTACTCTTTCTATAACGTGCATGGCCTGACGCATTGAACTGTAATATAACTATTACTCTTTCTATAACTGGCATGGCCTGACGCATTGAACTGTAATATAACTATTACTCTTTCTATAACTGGCATGGCCTGACGCATTGAACTGTAATATAACTATTACTCTTTCTATAACTGGCATGGCTTGACGCATTGAACTGTAGTATAATTATTACTCTTTCTATAACTGGCATGGCCTGACGCATTGAACTGTAATATAACTATTACTCTTTCTATAACGTGCATGGCCTGACGCATTGAACTATAATATAACTATTATTCTTTCTATAAAGGGTATGGTCTGCTGGTTAGGGCGCTCGACTCGCAATCTTCGAGACGCGGATTGGAATCACCATCGACGAACATGATCGTCCTTTCAACCGTGGGGACGTTATAATGTAACAGTAAATCCTGCTGTTCTTTGATAAAAGAGTAGTCGATGAGTTGGCGATGTGTGGTGTTGACTAGCTGTCTTACCTCTAGTCTACCACTGCTAATTCAGGGCCTGCTATCGCATATAGCCCTCGTGTAGCTTTGCGCGAAATTAAAAAACAAACCAAACTTTCTATAACAGTAGCGTTGTAGTTAGCGTGCCGGGCTACGAAACCGAAGGCTCTAATTGGCACCGCGATGCAACTGAACGCGTTCCGCTCTTTCTGGGTGCGTTATAATATTGACAGTTAATGTCGTTAATCATTTCAAATGTAGACAGACCACTTGTGGTGGTGGCGACGGGTGCTGCTGTCTTCCCTCTTATCAGTATAGTCCGAAATTAGGGACGGCTGTAACTGAATCCAAGAAGGTCTTTGACGTGGCCGTTTATTCCAATTGCACAAAAAAAAAAAAAAAATCCGCTCAGCTTGAATAATACCAAATACTTTATGTAAATTTAGTAGAAAGTACATTTCTAAATATGTTTTGTTCTCTGTACCGAAGCCTCGAACATGAGTAATCTTCTGACTATAATGGACGTAGCGTGTATGTCAGTATCTATCTGTGTATCTACTGAATGGCACCACATAAAAAAAACATCACACTTTGAGTATTCAAGATTCAGACAATTAGAAAAATAACTGTGATATGTGCAACAACTATTTCTTTATAATTCTCACGGCAATAACACAACTTTCTCTAGAACCGTACGTGAGGTTTTGATTGTATCTTTATTGATGCAATTTTTAATTAAACGTAACACTGAGAAACTGGAGTTCTTAAAAAAAAATACCATTTTTTTCAATAAAGGGTAGCACTTTTAATATATAAAAACATTATAGCTTATATCAGTAAAATTTATGAACATTTTGAGCTTATACATTGAATCATTTTGATGCAATGAGTTGCGTATGATCAAAGAGCACAATAAGAACACTTTTCTCGTGCGGTACTTACTTCCCAGAAAAAAACAAAAAAACTTTTGTATAAAAATGTTCACTTTGTAATTTTTTTTTCTACGACGTATGAATACTACGATTAGTAATTAGTAGGACAAGTAGTTTCTGCTAGTGATATAAACGGGTAGAAACTACTAATTCATTTATTAATCGTTTAAGCTGCCGCGTAATTTACGTGTTTGAGTAATATAGCCTCTATTATTTATCTTTCATTACAGTAACGTCATATATATATGAAAAGCTTTTTCAACTATCCCCCTGCTATTAGATATTAGTAAAAACTATTTGTTGTTAAGAGATATAGCTAACGGTACGTGCAATCATTTATTTTTTGTAGCCACTATGAATTGTCTATTTCTATTTGTAATGACGGGAAATTTGTTTTATGGTCCCTGTAGTATTTTTTAAATCTAATGAATTGGTACGAATGCAGTTGCTGTTTTTCTGCGTTGGTCTCTTTGTGTATGTGTATATCTGGAGTGAGGAAGACTCTTTGTGTATGTGTATATCTGGAGTGAGGAAGACTCTTTGTGTATGTGTATATATGGAGTGAGGAAGACTTTTTGTGTATGTGTATATATGGAGTGAGGAAGACTCTTTGTGTATACGTATATATGGAGTGAGGAAGACTCTTTGTGTATACGTATATATGGAGTGAGGAAGACTCTTTGTGTATACGTATATATGGAGTGAGGAAGACTCTTTGTGTATACGTATATATGGAGTGAGGAAGACTCTTTGTGTATAGTGTATATATGAAGTGAGGAAGACTCTTTGTGTATAGGGAGTGAGGAAGACTCTTTGTGTATACGTATATATGAAGTGAGGAAGACTCTTTGTGTATATGTGTATATATGAAGTGAGGAAGACTTTGTGTA